AAAAAAAAAAAAAAAAATTGCAAAAAACCCATCATGTATGTAGAAAAAAGGTGGAGAAGGTAAAGAGAAAGATAAAGAGGAAAATGAGTTAGCAAAAATCTACACAGTTACAAACTAGCACAGGGTGACTCATTTGTGAAGCAAGGCTTGTTTCAAAAGGGCTCACAAGGAGCAAAGAGCAAAGGCAATTCACAGTGAACACAAGCACTCAGGAAACGGGCAGACAGGAGCTGGTGAGTACAGGAGGGAGCCCGGGCCTCTTGCAGTGTGGTCTCCCACATTCCAGAGGGCATGGAAGATTGGGAAACAAGCAAAATGAGAAGCTCTGGGAAGGCTGGGCAGGAGGACTAGTGTTTACAAATCTGACAAGCTCAGGCCAGCCTGAGCCACACAGTAGGATCTTAACAGAAAACAAACCACGTTTGAAAAGACTGTAACAGGAGATGGGCACACACTACCTGGTACCAGACATTTAAAGCAACTGAAGGGGCTGTTGTGGGTGAGAAGAGAATGAGCAAGAGATGACTGAAGAAAACAATCCTGAAAAGAGTGGGTTAAATATATTGCTGTATTCTTCTGACTGTAAAAATGAAACAACTATCTACATTATTTTGACTAGCATACAAAACTTGACACATTTGGACAAAATGAAACCTTTGTGTAAGCCACACAGTCGGGAAAATACTCTGTCCTTGGCAGCTTGGAGCCCTGTTGTCCAGTGTGAGTGATTAATCCTTCGGAAAGAAGTCAAGCTACTGTGCTGTGCTTAGTGGACCGAGTGCCTGAGCTATTAGCTCCGATTTTATCTCTTCAGGGTATTTATCTAAAACCCACTGTATATTATCACTCTTCTAGCACATCAGAACAAAACTCACAAATCCCTGTAGATCAAATAGAGGCTAGAAGTGGAGAAGGAAGGAACATGGAAATAGAAGTAGGCGAGCGTGTTGGAAGGAGAAAAAGCACTAGAGAGAAAAATAAAGAATGAGCATGTGGACAGCTGGGTTGCACTTTTTAAAAAAAGGATAGGGAGCCTTTTGCTGAGAAACTGACGTGTGAGTATAGCCTGTTAAAAAGTGAATGAGCAAGCTGTGCAAGCAGGTCATACGAAATGCAGTGCCTTTCTATAAATTCCACACTGAAAGCCCCTCTAGTTCCATTTTTAAAATAACTAATCTTAAAGAAAACGGAGGTTGCAAGTGGTACTAGAGGGCATGTTCTAGGGCCAAAGGGCATCTTGTGTGTCATCTTGCTTTCTTGGAAACCTTCTACTTACACAAGTATGACTCTGCAGTTTCTCACTCCGTGAAAACATGCTTAGCATGTGTTACCCTCCCCGCTTAATCTCTTCTGGAAGAAAACAAATGTTTACTTAATAGAATGTTTGCTGGAGAGGCTTATGGAAACCACAGTAATACAGAAAGTCTGAGTGACCCCTGAAGGAGTTTAGTGACAGGTTGAGAAAATTGGTGCCTGGGCCTTTCAAAGAGAACAGCCAAGCATGGTGGTACATGCTGTTAATAACAGTATTGAGAGTCAGGGGCAGGCTGATCTCCATGAGTTCAAACCCAGCAAAGACTACATAACAACAACAACAACAAAATCTAAATCAGTATTTCTGCTTTCAGCTAAGTTGACCTGCATGACCAGCCCACTTGCTGTGAAAGAAGAATCCGCCAAAGGGAGTAGTGCTTTAAGGGGTGAGTACAGATCTGGCCAGGCAGCTGCCCTTTCTGTGCTTGCTTTCCTGGGATGGAGCTTCTTTGTTTGGGGTTCTGAAAGATTAACAATTCTCATTGTTTCCATTCCTAAATAATAGCTTTCATTCTTGGCTATAGGATGGCAGTTAAGCTGTGGTGTTGGAATAGATATTCAAACTTCCATTGCAGTATGTTGGTATAATAGGTAACCAAGCAAGACAGCTACTAGAGGATAGCTGTGGCATTTTTGGTTACTACCAGGA